CCCCCTGTGAAGCCACCTGCAATTGTATTAATGACGCGCCGCAAGGGGGCTGACCCTATTTCCTGGCTTACCTCGGCCTGTACTGCGCCGCCAGTGTTTTGTTGAGAGCCAGATGGTTGGTCCGTGCGAGCTCTCGAACCGCGATCTCTGCCTCGTCCTCGTCTACCATAGCCTCCTCTGTGACCCTGCTGTCGTTGGACATACTGGCCGAGGTGACCTGCCTGGATGAGTTCTTCGATACGGTCTCGGAGTGTGCGGCACTCTTCAGTGGTGTGATCGTGGTTTCGGTGGTATCGACAGTGTTTGGACTTGTCCGCACTATTGGGAGTGTGACTTGGTGGTGGCAGGGTGAGCAGATTGCTATTACTTGCCTCCTCCAGGATGTGAACTCGGGGCGTATTTAGGGGAGTGTAGAAGTCGTATCTCCCCCCCTTGCTTGTCCTAGCAATTTTCCTTAACTGGCTGTCATTGGTGACCTTCATCTTGTCTTTGTGGCCACTGTCGAGCTTCGCTTGTGATTTTTCGCAAACCTGGTCACGAAAGGCAGAATGTTCTTCCATTTGGATGTACCCAGCAGCACGGGCACAGAGCTCGTCCATATCGCGAAGAGCTTCACGACACAGACTTTCGATGAACGGTCCAGGCTTGAGTTCCATGAGCATGGCGTGCAGGGCGACCTCGGGATTCAGATTTCAGATCTTTACCGAGATGGCGGCGAATCGTTCCATGAACGTCTGAAGTGGTTTGTCGTCACTCTGTCTGAGACTAGCCAGGGCAGCTGATGTTATGTGATGAGGTCGGCTCGTCGCATACTGTGCTGTGAACCGTCTGACCAGGGTGCCGAAGTTGTCAATTGACTCGGCAGGTAGCTGGGTGTACCAGTTGAGCGCGACCCCTTTGAGCGAGGTCAGAAAAACCCTACACAAGATAGCATCCTCATTAGTGTAAAGATTTACCTATGTGGTATACAGATCGATGTGCTCATCCGGATCAGTCGTGCCGTCGTAACGGTCGATGTGGAGAGGCTTCCACCCAAAAGGGAGAGGTGTCTCCATGATGCCGTCCACAAAAGGATGATGGCGGAAGGTCGCCTGATTTCCCGTGCCATGGGCGGGAGCGTTGCTGACGTCATGTGCCGACCTGTTCATCGATACGTGAGACCGATGCGTGGCAGGCCTGGGAGTTGGTGCCCTAGTCGCTGTTGGCAGTTGAGAAACCGAGTGCCCTTCCTCCTCATGCAAGTTACTCTGTTGAGGGGGTTAATCAGAGGGACGCTGAAGGAGTTGAGCGCAAATACGCTCGTTCTCAGCGCGTAGCGCCGCTAGGTCAGCCTCATTAGCGGTACGCATCGCTGCTAGGTCAGTTTCATGCTTGGCATGCATGCTTTGTAGATTGGCGGCGTGTTGCTGCCGCATCTGCTCGATCAGTCTCCTCAATGCTGCTTCGTTATTCATGCTAGTTGTGTGATCTAGGTCGTCTATTGCGTGTCTGCTATGACTTCTGGTGAAAACCATAAGAGTGGCCAATAAGAGCTGTCTTGATCGGTCCCACGGTGGGCGCCAAATGTTCTTTCCGGGGATCCGTGGTGGGGTTGATCCGCTGGGTGAGGTCGGTGAGCCTCCTTCACTAGTACATTGATGCTCCCAGATGGGGGTGGTACCTGCAAAAGAGACTCTGATGCTAAAGTTAGGGTTTGTGGGAGTATGAGTCTCGTATAAATAATGCACGTACCTTAGTATGAATTAGGGTTTTACTGGGATTTGGGCCCGAGATCAGTTATGACCTATTTGGGTGATGAGTTGACGTCACGCAGCGCGTGTCCGAGGTCATCCTGCGTTGTGATGCCGAGCTTGGAGCTCGGCTTCGCAGTACGGATAGTACATCAGGAAAAGACAATTTTCTCTCCTGATGCTCGAAGTCACTTAAGTAGAGAGCTTTTATCTTGGTCACATTAGGCATCACACAACTTGGTGTCCAACATCACCAAGTTAGTGACAATTCTCTCACCTCCCGTCCGACGCCATTCAACCCACGTTTCGCGTGACCAAGTAAGAAATTTTATCTCTCTTCACACCTAACACCACCAATCTTGCATCCGACGCAATTGAGACAAATGATCCCTAATTTGAGTCATGCTTAGTATCATGAAGGCACCCCCAATACAATGGTAGAATATCCACATAACAAATTCACGAATTTGGCCCGAACCACATTAAGTCTAGAAAATACCAAGCATATAACACATAATAATGTACATAGACACCTCAAACAACTCAAATCCAACCTCAAAATTAACATGTAACCAAAATCATTCAAGTTCATCAATTTCTCTTCTTTGAAAACTAAGAACACCAAAGCTCAACAAACCATGTATCAACATCATGCATATTCAACAACATAATTATAAATCATTCATGCATAACAACTCAACACTCAACAACAATTCAAGTTCTAGCTTCCCTTACCTCAAATTCGAAGAGAGTGAGGAAGAAGGAAGAAGAAGAAATGACTCTGAGCTATCCCCAAAAGCTTCGCACCAGCTCAGATTCTTAGCTCTATTGGCCTTGAGTCTCAACTCAGTTGATCAACAACGATCTTCTACACACTCGAGAAAGCTAGAAATAAAGAAGGAAGATTTATGAATCCTAAAGTTCTTTTCTCTAACTTCTCTCTAAAGTTCTTTAAGCAATGAACTTATGAGATTCAAGTCTTAAAAGAAACCTTATATACCTTCCCCTCAAGGTTAAATTGAACCTTTACCGAGAGAAACCTCACTTTAAACACCTAAAAACTCCTTAAGAATCTTTTAATTCCTAGAGTCTCTCAACAGAAAATCCTAAAATCACCACAACTCATAATCATTGATAAAAATAACAATGATTAACAAAAATAAGTATATTGTTACACTTTTAGTCCTTATACTTATCTTTATTAATCTTTTTTAGTACCTATAGTTTAATTAAGACATACTTTTTTAGTCTCTATACTCACCTTTTATTAATCCCTTTTAGTCTTTATCGTTAATTATTTTGTAACATCGTTTATTTTGTGTTGACGTGATAGTGGTCTTCAATTTTGTAAAGGTAAACAAAGGAGTGTTTCAACAATGAGCATCTTAGGTGTCAGTAAAAAATATGCACAAAATGTCAAGGGACCTAATTTAAGATAATTCTAGCAAAATAAATTAGATATCTAACACACAAAATTGAATTAAAACCTTTGTTATGTCAACACAAAATAGATAACGTTTCAAAAAGAATTAAAAACAAATACTAAAATATTTATATTAAACTATATGAATTAAAAAAAGAATTAAAAAATTCATTATATGAACTAAAAATGTCTAATTTAAATTATAAGTACTAAAAGATAAAACAAATAAAATTATAGAGACTATAAAAAATATTTTAACCTTTATTTTTTTTAAGAATTTTAAATATTCTGAAGTAAAATGTTTTATCTGAATAAAAAATTTAAAATTCAAGTATTTATAAAATTTTTAATACTAATAACAAGTAAGAATGAGAAAACATGCCCCCAAAATAAAGCAAACCACCGTAATGGCTGAGGCTGCCATCTCCCATAGCTACCACCCGACATTCACCACAATGGTAGTTTGCAGCTGTTAAGTTATCCATGCGGAAGAAAAACAAAATAGAGGAAAAATAATGAGTCATAACTTTTTATATATATACAAAATTATTAATTTAACAATGAAAAAGCTTATGTTCTTGCGTAGAAACACTCCTCTGGTAGCTTCTTCCTTACAGTCTTCTAAGTCCTCGGTGTCGGCCGAATACTGCCTCCAAGTGGTGGGGGAGGGTACCTGCAAAGGCACTCCGACGATCAAGTAAGTATTCGGTTCAGAGCAATAAAGGTTTTATATGGGATAATAACGTACCTCCTTTATGTCACATCACCTGTGTATTTATAGTGACACAATTGGGCCTGGTGGGCCTTCAGTCTTGGGAGATGGGTAACATTTGAGTTAACCTTAATCTCTTCTTAATCTGGCGTGGTAATTAGTGCATAATAAGTATCTAATTTGCCACGTATTACTCATGAGCTGTTCTCATGTTATTCATGAGCTGTTCTTTATTGGTCTTCGGCTAGGCACGAGGCCGAGGGGGGTCTCGGCTTGACCCTGTACCGAGGGGGTGTTCGGCCTGCGCGTGGGCCGAAGAGGTATTCGGCCTGGCCCGATACCGAAAGGGTTTTTGGTTTGTCATCAGTGGTAGTTGGTGTCCGGCCTACCCCTAGGCCGAGGAGGTGTTCGGCCTGCTCCAAGGCCGAGAGGGTGTTTGGCTTATCCTTAGGCCGAGGAGGTGTTCGGCCTGCCCCAAGGCCGAGGAGGTGTTCGGCTTACCCCCATGCCGAGAAGCTTTCCTCATGGCCAAAGGGTTTTGTTGGATGGCCACTTCGTAGTGTCTTGGGGTGGCCCTTTGGCCGAGGTGTGTAATGGTGTTTCATCGGTTCGGGCGCCCCTATCGGCCTATTATCTGACCGAAGGGGTACCTACTAGCACCTTGTGTTTTCCTCGGTTCGGGCACCCCTATCAGCCTATTGTTTGACCGAAGAGGTGCCTACTAGTACAGCTTATATTTAATTTATGATCACTCTACATTAGAATAATTTTCTGCTTCTTAAACGTTTCACTTTTAGTTTTATTTATTCTCATTTAAATATCTTATTTTAATGAAGGGGTAAACTTTAATCTCTTGATGTGTAAGTGTTTTTTTTTTTTTTTTTACATTAAACAAATCTCTTACATATATAAATTAGAATAATTTTTTAGTAAAAAAATGTTTTACTCTCTATTTTTCACATTCTTTTTCATATTTTTTTAATGAAAAATTAGTATTTTAATTTCTACAATATATAATAAAATATTTATTATATATAACTAAAAATTATAATAAATTATATATAAATAAATATTAGATGTCACGTAATTACACTGTCCTTAAGTGGGGGCACGTAACTAAAACAATGGAGGTCCATTAACAAATAAATTAACATACACACAAACACTATATTTTTATTAGAGAATTTATTATACATCAAACATGCTTCGACGTCCAAAAAAGAAAAAAGCAAAAGAAAAAGAATACATATTTACACAAGCAAGAAGGGAGAAAAATGAAAATCCAGGCAATAGAAGCGACAAAATTAAATGTAATACGCGTAGAACACAGGGAGTCTCAGAAATCGACGTCACACTTAGTGGGTTCAAACACAGTCCCCCTCGAAGTCAAAGGAACCTCAAGCTCGCACTTGGCCTTGGCCTTGGTGTCACCTCCTATGGTGTCACCAAGCCTGAACCGAACCGTAAAGTATAGCCTCACGTCGATGTCGAAGACCCCTTTCCTCTCGTCCTCTTCCAAATCCCTCACGTGATCTCGCTCCAGCACCATCACGTGCTGCCCCGCGAAAACCCCGCCCACGCGGTCCGTGCTCTTCGCGCGCTGCCGAAAAGCGTTCCGCCACGTGACCACGTCAGCGGAGCCGAACCTCACGCCGTCGTAGGACACGTGTCCCTCCACTCTGTCGTAGTAGATGTCGAGCCTCTTGTTGGGGTTCCGCGCGGTGAAGTTGAGGACGAGGTTGTAGCGGAGGTTGCTGTCGCTGTCGGTGTAGTTGAACTGCGTGAGCCTCGCGTCGGTGACGTGGACCCTGAAGCCGCGCGGCTGGACCACGGCCCAGAAGACGAGGAACACGAGGACGAGGATGATTATGATTGCCAGGAGAAGCTTCCAGAAGAAGCTGAAGAGGCAGCAGCAGCACCTTCTGCCGCGGTGGTCTGAGTGGTGGCGCGGTGGCTCCGATGTGGGGATTGCGGGGCCGTAATACGCACCGTTTAGTTGGGGTTGTTTATCAGCCATGGTCGATCGGATACAAGTGTTTAGAAATGGGTGGATGGAGTGAAGTGTGTTTTGGTGACGAAAGGAGGGTTACGTAACGTATATATAGGGTAAAGGGTATGCTTGATTTTTTTGTTGTGTTGTTTACGTTTTCCTAGTTCATTTTTCTCTTCACGTTGAGGATTCGTTGTTAGTTATAGTAGCTCGTGTTGACGGGTGCTGTGTATGCGGTAGGAAAGATCCAATGAATTACTCCAAACAGTGACGCCGTTGAAATTTCCACTAAGACGTGCTGGGGACTTTCAATGTGTTTTGCACTCGCAACTACAAATAATATCTATTGATTTTTTTTCTTCTTCTTTTACGAGTAGGTTATATACATTATTTTAGGTATATATGCGCAATAATTAATCCGAGATTTCTGATACAATCACGTACCAAATTAATACCAGAATTTAAAATTCTATATCAATATTTATTATAAAATACTATCTCTTATAGATATTTTTTAATGAATTTGTCATTATAAAATTTTACTTATTTAAAACTCTTTTATTTTATTGTAACGTTCATATATCACCATTGTTTCTTGAATGAAACAAAATAAAGGAACTTATAAGAGTTTAGTGTCATCTTATCTTTTCAAATAGTAACTTAATATTCATTCATCACAGATATTAAATTAATTAATATTAGATCTAAAAAACTTAATAACACATTTGTCTATTTGATTTTATCCAATAATTAAATATACCTACTACATATTGATTTTCAAATCCAAATAGATCATATAATAAAATGAATTTACACACAAAAAAAATATAAGTCAAGCAATATTCAATCAAATTTTATAAAATAAAATTACACCTATTAATAATAGTTAAAATAAATAAAAATTCTAACAATTTCTTGCGGTCTTCTCAAACTGAACATAACCAAGACTAAACTTAATATATATGTATATAGTTTTATAATAATATGGCAACAAATTAGTAGTGTAGTAATCCAATAAAAATTCATTAAAATAAGCTAAGTATTATCTCATAATTTTTTAGATTTGGATTTCTTTCAAATTTAAATTAATTTAAAAAGTAAAAATTTTCTCTCACTTATATATATTATTCCGTTTCAACAAAAAAAGCTCATGAACAATATCTAACAGATTGACGAATAGTTTGATTGGTTAAGTATGTTGTGGATGATTCGATTTTTAATCACATGCATGGAAAAAGATTTTGTTAAAAAGACTGGATTCATTTGAAAAATTTCTACATTTTTAAAGGAACTAATCTTCTACTATCCGAAGATATCTATCTTTGTACAAACTAGAAAAGAAAAAAAGTACAAAAAATCTCAAGGTTATCTAACTTCATCGCCCACTAGATTTTGTCATCAATGTCCATAGTGGCGTACTCTCCAACTTGATACGATGCACCTATCCAATTACGCGTCACACAGGGCCCGATGGTCCAACCGTTCAAGTGGCTTGAATTATATGTACGTGGGTACGACACAAGACATGCTGGTTTATTATGAAGTCTTATAGAAAGTGTCTTCAAATGTAGGGTAAGGATTGTTTAAAAATTAATATTATATATATATATATATATA